GCTGCTGCTGCTGCTGCTGCTGCTGCTGCTTCCGTGTGTCCATTTTTATAACTAAATTTGCACCGCAAAGAAGTCTTTATTTCTGTTCCCCAAACCACGATTTAGGGTTTGGCGCCGAGGGTTTAGGGTTTGGAGTCGGGCTGCTGCGCCGCTCGCCGGCTCGCCACTGCTGCTGCGGGTGTCTATACACCTCAACTGCAACTCCGAAGCAAATCGAAACAAATAAACAAATTCATATATTTAAATTCATTTATTTAAATTATTTATTTATTTTCTTTTTCGAAGCCCAAGGGCCTCCCTAAACCCTTTCTTCCCCGGCTAGCCGCCGCGCCCAAACCCCAAACCCCAACCCCTGCACCCCAAACCCTAAACCCTAAACCCTAAACCCTCGAAAATGGAGCCTTTCGGGCTGGAAGGCATGGAGGGTTCTGCGGCGTCTCGGCAGGCGTTTGCGCAGCCGTCTTTGAGTCAGCGTTTTGCTGCTTACGGCGCTCCTGCTGCTGCTGCTGCTGCAGCAGGCAGCAGCAGCAGCAGCAACGCGGGCGCTGAGTCGCCGCTGCTGCAGCGGGGCGCATCCACGGGGGCGGCGTCGGACGCCGCTGCTTCTGCTGCTGCTGCTGCTGCTGCAGTGGGGCGGCAGCTGACGCAGCAGCTAACGCATGCAATGAATTCTTCTTTATCTTTTTCTTCTTTTTCTTTCAAAGAAAGTCCCCGGGGGGAGCAGCACAGCCCTTTGGTATATTATTTGAGTTCGCATTTGCTGCGGGGGGGGCTGCTGCTGCAGCTGCTGGGCGTGCTGCTGTCGCTTTGCTGCTGCTGCTGCTGCTGCGGCTCCCTTGCTGCTTCCTTCCGCCCCTTCCCGCTGCAGCAGCAGCACTCTCAGGTGTACGTACACCTCAACTGCTGCGCCGCTTTTCTCTTCTTCTTCGGCGCTCTCCAGTTTGCTGCTTTTCAGGCCCTCATTGCAGACAACAGCAAGTTAGTTTTATTTTTATTTATTTATTTATTTATTTTATTTATTTATTTGTTTAATCTATTCAATTTAATTAATTTAATTAATTTAGTTTGATTTGGTTGGTTTGATTTAGTTGGCTTGTTTGGTCATCATCATCAGTGCAGATCGTTTTATTTATTTATTTGATTTTTTAATTTATTTAATTTAATTTAATTTAATTAATTTAATATACTTAATATAATTTAATTTAATGTAATTAATTTAATTTATTTATTTAATTTAATTCATTTCAATTTAATTAATTTAATTAGTTGATTTGATTTGGTTTTAATTTGCTGCCCTTTGTCGCCCCAACTCCAAAATCGAAATAATATTTGCAAAGCAAACAACAAAAAACAAAATAAAAAAATAAATAATTAAATAAATAATTAAATAATAAAAAACAATAAATAATTAAATAATAAATAAATAAGTAAATAAATAAATAAATAATTAATTAATTAATTAGTTTATATGCTGCATGCGTTTGCTGCAGGTTCACTGTGGGGTTTCGCGCAGCAGCAAAGACGCTGGGCTGTGCTGCTGCGCTGCAGCTGCTGGGCGCAATTTGCTGCTGCTGCTGCTGCATGCATTTGAGCCATTTTGTGTCAGCAAGATGGCTGGGGAAGCATCTGCAGCAGCAAGAAGAGTGGGCTTTGTGTCTCTTGGGGCAGCTGCTGCTGCTGTTTGCTGCTGCTGCACTTGCTGTTGGCTTTGCTGCACTTGAACTCTACCACGACAAAGGCAGCAGCAGCAGCAGCAAAGCTGCTGCTGCCATCTTCCTCCTCTACATCCTCACCGCCGTCGCCAGTAAACCCTAAACCCTAAACCCTAAACCCTCAACGACTCGCCAGCCAGCGCCCAAGCTGCAGCCAGCGAAGCCCAAACCCTAAACCCTAAACCCTAAACCCTCCGGCTGCCAAGGCGTCAGCAGCAGCGACAGAACGAACAAATAAACGACAACTGAATGCAAACAAATAAACAAATGAAAATAAAATAAATAAATAAATAAATAAAAAACAAATAAATAAATAAATAAA